TTTCGCCTAGGTACACGTCTTGACAAAGCTCTTTGCAGTAACTTCTACGGAAGTCGCGATTGAAACACGAAATACAAGCTAGAAATTCCCAATCCTTCACCGTCAAAAGCAAAATGTCGATTGGCAATTGACGCTTATCCAGTGGTACTGATTTTCCCGGAAGATCCTCATTCCGTAGAAGAGTAACAGTTACCTCTGGTGGATTACTAGTAGTTTTCAGTGATTCAGTGACTATGGAGAAAAACAATATAATAAAAAAAAAAGAAAATAATAATTAAGCTCCGTATTTTCTGTTTCCGTCTCCAGCTTAAGGTAGCTGAACACAGTTTCTCTGACAGAATTGCGCGCGCTAAGAAATTTCACTGACGCAGTTATTTCCGTGCGCACAATAGACTGACGTGATCTGAAGAAAAATAAACAGCTAAATGAAAAGGTTTCGCCCCTAGAAATGCTTTATTTCTCTACTGTTAACATCTTTATTATGAGAAGATATGCAGGCAATGGAATTTTCTAGAAAGAAATCTGAGGAACAGCTGAGAAAAATGGCCAGAAGATGACTGTTTATTCTGTTTCCGTCGGTCACTTTTGCCATATCAAATGACCCAGCGCGCGCACAAGTGTTGAGCATGCGTACTTAGGAAAAATATGAGAGCGCTTAGTTTGTTGACTTTCATACACAATTTAAAGAAACGAACATAAAAAATTTGACGAAATTAGGCAAAATTCTTGTCAATATCGCACTTGAATGGGTACTGTGTCGGAAGCATTTTGTGGAAGCGACCGAAATTGAAATTGCTGAAAAGAATGGCGAATTGGTGCAATTGGATGCGGGTAAAACCATCGTGAATCCCGTGCTTAGAAAAGTTTAAATAGAAGGACTATCAACAACCAACACTTCATTTGTTACAAACATGCAGAGTGTCGTGAGTGATAAGACGCCTGAATATCCTGACAATGAAAACCATACCTTTAAAGTACGACTAACTGCCCCCTTACATCTGTCAGGGCATGGTTGGCAAGTGGCGCTGATTGGCTCAGTATGCCTGCGACTAGTCATAGACATAATGCTCTATTGAGCACAAGTAAAAACCCATACACGTTGATTTTTGTATCCACGAAGTAGGGAACAGTTCATTTAGGATGTCAAGGGTTTCTGACACTTCAGAGTTTATTGGAGGTCGGCAGCGGTCTGGACATGATGAAAAATTTAAAACAGCATTTCGATATCAGTGTGCAAACAGCTATTCAAAAAAAGCTCGCTC